CTCCCCTGAGTTATGGGGTTGCTTGTGTCTGTATTTGAACAGTGTTAGATAAAAAGTGACATGGTTTGTTTTTCTGAATCTGGTTATTATTAGCTTGATTACCTTCATTTTTGTGAGACTTGCCTTAAATGTGTTTTTATAACTTATTATATTCTTTTTATGGGGCTGGAGGACATTCTGTGCAATCTCATCATGTATTCATATAATTAGACCAACCAAACCCTGGCATTCTTAGAGAACCCCATTATACCAGGCTGAATTAAAGAATTAGCACAAGATGACCTTTAATGAACAAAAATATGGATTGAGATCCACCAAATAATGAATGCTGTGGGTATTCACCAATAATAATGTCATAACAATGTCAATTGTATACTTAATTAATTTATTTCTTTATACATTTCAGTTTTATACTACTGAAACTGAAAATAGAACCCAGCTCCCTTCGATACCAATAAGATGTCCCATTGCCATTATTGATATTATGAAGGGGCTGAGTAGGGCAAGGGGAGAGAGGGAGAGAGAGACACTGAATCAGGAGAATCATATTGTAACCTACCATTTTAACTTAGCCAAGAGTGTGTTGATCTAATTTGTAATATAGTTTTAGTGAGGCAAGAATATATCATAGTTATTATAATAATTATTAATTGCTTTGAGGTGTTTTGTATCATACATATAAGGAAACTTGTTTGTTATAAATATGATGCATTAGTAGAGTGTGTATATATTTTTATACCCACTAACACACTGATATTCCCAAGACTGTACTGAGGTAGGCAGTTTTCATGAGTACTGTAATGAACAGATTAATAATATTTGTCAGACTGGATCTGAAGAGATATTATAAATATGGCATGTCAAGATATTTTGGGACAGGCCAATAATTATGTATGCTCATAAAGGAGATACAACAAAAGAAGAAAATAAAGATATTTTCTTTATTGTCAAGAAACTTTTCCAGCCTGAATAACTGGTCTCCAAGAGCTTGGATTTAGAATTACAATTAATAAGAGAACTGTGCATATTGGTTACAAGACCATGCTGTAAAATATTACCGTGATCTACTCTTTGTATAGAGAGATCATGCTTGTGTCTGAGTATTAACAGTAGAGTATTCACTGAATTGCTGTTGGCAGTAGTGCTCGGTCCAGCCCCTCTTCTGTCTATCTCTGATAGTCAGTGGCGCATATATACAAGACAGCCGGTGGGCACTGAAATGAAAGTGATCGGTTTTAGTGTTGGGTTTGAACTTCTAGAGTTATGTTTAGAAATAGCAGGCTCTAATCCACTGAGTTAGCATATCAGTCCAGATACTAAGTAATTAGTAAGTATTTGAATCTGGCACATGTTGTTTATATGTAAAAAAATCTAGTTAATCTGGGAAATCAAAGATAATAGGAATATATCATTTTGTTTATAGCTTTGCCCTCACATTTTTCAAAGTAATGTGAAGACACAAAAAATGAACCTTTACTTTAAACATTTTCCTGTGGTAGGTGGTACATAATAGTATTTATTCTAATGCCCTGAAATTTAGAAAGGTCATTTCAACAGTGAGTAGAAGAGTCTCTTTCATTTTTTTGTCATTGGCATTCAAATATTCTTAGTGCTCCTGTAAAAACAGAGAATTAAAACTTCTTTTCCTTACTCTGATTTTTCTCTCTACTTCTTTGTAACTTTTGGTGAATCACATGGCCATGTCTGAGGCATATTGCTGTGGTTTTATAAACAGATATTTTAAATGTCAGTGTTGGGTAGAAGTTCTACAATATACAATGCTTTTCTTATGTCACATCATTAAACTCAGCTGCAAATAAAGTTTTTTAAACATGAAGTTTCTATTATCATTTATATGTAGCAGATAATGGTCTTAATAAAATTTTTAGGGTTATATTTCTACAGGTTGGCTTTCTGAATAAGGAAACTGTGACAGTTCAAGCTTTCTGCCAGAATGTGTCAGGATGAGCTAGAAAGAATGCCAGAGATGTTGAACTTGACGTTTTCTTTCCTTTGACAAGTTTGGTGTCAGGGACTGCTTTGGGTTTGATAGTGAGTTTATTTTCTCTCCCTGAAATTGATGTTAGTAAAGGGGAGTTATAGTTATGGAGCCGTGTGGCTGTCTTTGGCCAATGCTATACTTAGGCTAATATTCATAGGGTGATAGAACTTAATAATGTAGAGGATCTCAGAGGTAATTAAACCTCTTGCTTTTTAGCATGTGGAAACTGGTTCCCAGACGTGAAGTTGAGCTCCTGCTGCAGCCTGCTTATGGTGGTTTATCTCATTCCAGTGGTTAATGAAAGATTGGATCAGTGCGGAGGTTGAAATCCAGTCATGTCACCTAGGAATTTAAAGCCCTATTCTCTCTCCTGGTGGTTGCGGTTTACAACTGCTATGTGGCAGGTTCATCTCTACCTGCCATCTTCCATCTTATCAAAGTCAAATAAAATATCGAGACAAATCTCTAAATTTAAAACGCTTTATTTGAGAAGGAAGAATTGCAATTCGGGGTATACACACAGACCAGGGGTCTCTGGGACCACTGAAGAACAAAGAGAAGGTTGGAGGTTTTATAAAAAGGAGTCGCTCTTCAAGAAAGTTCATTGGCACTAGTAAGGTTTTGGTGGGCTGGCCGGCGATGGATGGGTGGGGGACAGTGGTGAGTGGGTAAAACTAGTCTGAGAGTTTCAGCAGGCTGTTTCTGTAGCTGTGAGATAAAACTGGTTTCAGGCTACAACAGGTGGTTTCAGCAGCCAGCCTTGCCGAGAATTACATTCTTAGAGCAATGTTATGTGCCCTGAATGCTTTCCCCCCTGGATTCTCCACTCTATTTTATTTGAGTATGAATGACCTGATTCATGTGATCAACTTTCACAATCTGTCTTACAAACAGAGCATTTCTCTTCAGCCTTCCGTGTGCTCATGTCCACACCACTGCATGCTTCAGCACCATCTGCACCGTCGTTTTACTTTCTCTCTCTCCTTCTTTAGAAGTGTGTTAAGAATGGAGACGAGAAGGAAAAGAAAGGGAAGGAAGACTTTCTCATGACAACTTGCCATCTCAAGGGAAAACATCATTTCTCCTACCTGTGTTCCTTCCCATTTGAGTAAAACCTCCCCACACTCCAGCACTGTGGACACTGGCTCATGCTCCCCACTCCACCGACTGGTCTAGCACAGGTCGACTCTTTGATTGTCAATTCCAATGGATCATTTTCCAGGCCTTTTCTGACTTGACGTTTCTGCACATTGACATATTTTGTAACTTCTCCTTGAAATTGTTCCTTCTTTGGCTTCTGTAACAAGACTGACTTTCTCCTCATCTTCCTACTTCTTAGATACTTATGTTCTTACTCTACCTGCATCCTCTTAATATTGTGCCATTGCTAAGAATAATGTAGTGCTTAAGAGCTTAGGGTCTGGAGACAGATCACATGCACTTGAGCCCTGACTGACCCACTGGGGTCAGTTACTTAATTTTTCAGTGTCTCAGTTTTGTCATCTGAAAAATGGGGCTATTTCCAGTACTATCTCATAGTGTTATTTTAAAAATGAACTTATTTAATATACATAAAGAACTAAGAATAGTGCCTGGCAAATGATAAATAATTTGTAAGTTTTTAGTATTCTTCAGAGGCAGAGAGAGTGAGAAAGCAGCCATTCTTTGGTTAAGAATATTTTTTATGTCTGTGGTCCTCTGCTGGAACTCCTGAACAAGCTCTCAAGATCCATGCTTAAGAGACACAGGAAACATAATTCTCATACATGTTTCTTCTTCATTTCTAATTTCAGAGTTCCGATATTGAGTTTTGGCTATTTTTTTAATAACTTCCCCATCCAAACATTTGTGGCCAAATAAACTACAGAGTCCCTGGTCTCTGTGTTCATCATGGCTCACAGGTCTGTATCAACCCCACCCTGGCTGCCTGCTCACCTTCCCCCATCGAATGTCAAGCCAGTCTTGTCTGTCCACCCAACCTATATTTGGGACTTCAAACTCGCTGTACTAAATCTAAACTTAAATAAAGGTGATGGGATAAAAATTAACATGGCATCTACAACCTTTTTGTACCCTTGCAGACATGAAGAGTACAGGGAGGTGTTTGTCACAGTTATCACAAGAAAAAACACTGGGAGTAGAAGACAAATAATGACACTTCCCAGAGATTTGGGGGCAGGAGAGTGGTGGTGGTGGTGGCAGCATGAGGGCTGTGCTTGCTGATGCTTGGACCTCCAGCTACGTGGTAGGAAGGAGGAATGACATTCTTGTGGGCTATTTCTAGCCAGAATAGGTGATTCCTAGATGAACAAGAAATGTTCTCCAGAGTGTTTATAGCAAGGCTGGCTGCTGTGGTATGTGAGGATAGTGGCAGGACAGGGGTTAATAGAAAGGAGAAATTTTAACCAAGTTTTGCTTTGGTCTACATATACTCCTCATAGTGTTCAAGAATGGCACATAAAAAAATTCAAGATAATTTTGAAATAACCCTTGACAATTGCACTATATTTCCTCCTTACACTCCTGAGACTGATCCATGTGGTTCTTGGCTCCATAAAAGCCAGTATCTTCTCAAAGCCTGAGACAATAGTTCATTACCAAACCATACTCTCCCATTTTAAATCATAGTTCAAGATCTCCTCTCTGCTTTGCAATTTAGATGTTAATAATCCTCCTGCCTCTGAGCCACCTTGACCCTTGAGCATTTATCAAAGACACTCTACCTACTCTAGGTTCATACTGTGGTATGATTCTTTTCACTGAGGATAGTAATTCATTTGTTTACACAGCAATATATGTTTTTAAAACCCACTTAGAAATTGTAAACTTCTTATGGATAGGGAAAATGTTTGGTAGATTCTTTGCCTTTCTGGACATTTAATGTCATTTATTTTTGTATTTTCCCTACTGTCTTTAAGACATGTTTTATGTATATATTATCTATCTTAAAAAACCCCTTTGTGCAATAAAGATGGAAGATACTCACTCCTTTTTACAGATGGAGAAACTGAGGCTCTGTGATGGGAAGTGAGTTTTCCAGGATCCTGTGGCTGGTAAGTGGCAATAATATTCTGTTTTGGGGTTTAGTGAGCAGCATTGTTCAGCTATGTCATGAGAGGTTAGACCAGAGATTTGTGGGCTTGTCTTTCCTCATTTGATACATAAAAGGACATAAAAGAAAGGAAAGAAAAGAAAAAGAAACTCTCAGCACATTACATTTCTGTGAATGAATGGTGTCTGGAAATTATTTTAGAATCTCTGGAAACAGAACCAGATTTCTGCCTTTTCATTATGCTTCCATCACAGATTACACTGAGGATGAATCATGAGGCAGCTTCTCAGCATCTTGCAAAGTATCTCAGTGTTTGTGTGTGGAATTATTACACATGATTGAGGGGGCATAAATCATATGAAAATTGTGGGGAATTTTAATATTTTAGATTTCTAAAGAGATAGGTATCAAATTATTGGGTTTTGAGAAAATGTTGATGGTAAGAAATTGATGCTGACACTTGAATTATGAAGACTGTGATTGTAATGGGAATTTAAAAAAGTAAATTTACAGTTTTAACACAATCTAGATTAGCAGTGCAGTATTACAGAAAACTAGCTTTCCAGAAAGGCTGTTGCAGTTTTGATGACACTTTGATGATCTGTTGACTTAACTGAACACCCCGTGCTTAGCCTGAGAATCATAGTATAATAATGAACTGGGCCAATTAATAATAAGTATATTGGCTGTATCAGTAATAAATATTAGAATCATCTGACACAATGAGGATGTAATTTCACTTGTTACTGAATGAGTCACCTAGCTCTTAGGCTGCCTTAATGATTTAATTTCAGCAAATAGCATTTATGCCTTTAAATCTTTTTTTTTTTTTTTTTTGATGATGTGAAGGCTTACAAGGGTAAATGGCACAAAACTGCTGTCCTCTAGCACCTCACTATTTGGTGAAGGACTAGGACTTATGCAAAATTCATTAAAATAGAAGGCCCTGACTATTGTGTTAAAATAGCTGTATAGGCAAAGTGAATTTGTATCAAGTGTTTATGCAGTACAATCCTTTGTCTAAATATTCAGTTATTTGGACAATAATTTCTGTTATGTTCAATTGGAATTTGAGAGCCTCGTTGGGTTTTGGGGACTCCTGGGTGTATAAGACGTGAACCCTGCTCCCACGGTAGGGCGAGAGATGCACACAAAGCATGGTGAGAAGGTTAACGATGGATGGAAGCCCGGGCAGCTCTGAAGGGGCCCAGGGCAAGGAGTGACGAGGTATTTCTGAGCAGAAGGGGTACAGTGAGGGGGGAAAGAATGGCTTCAGTGAGGAAAAAGTTGTGATGGTGTAAGAGGAGGTTACTGGTGGGTAGGGGACAGAAGGATGTTCTGGGGGAGGGAATGGCTTGTGCCTTCTAGGTTATGGATACTTAAAGGTAATCAGTGTCATTTTACATTTAGCGTTTCCTCAGAAAACATATTGTTAATTCAACTTCTCAACTTTCTATAGTGGCAGAAGCAAAATTATTTCACTTTCATTCCTGTGTAGAAACAGAGTCACATGGGCAATAAGAATTGAAATAGTGTTTAGGGTCACACGTACGTAATGCAAAACTTTGGTACCACCGCTGATTTTTTTCATTTCTGGTTGCTTTAGCAATGGTAAGGGTTTATGAGAAATAAGATGTATGAAGTGTGATGGTAAGTCAGAAAATCGACTTTCGTGAATGTTTGGAACTCTCATATTAGAGTCAAACCTTTATTTGAAATTGAAGTCTTTCTTTCTTCTCATTGCAATCTTTTATATACTGTAATCTTTTCAGGAACTATTCATTAAATGGAAAAGCAAATCACTATCACATGTTATTTTCTTCTGAAAAGATATACTCCTTTTATAAAAGAAAAACTAAGACCTGCTAAAATGTTTATAATCTGAAAATGTGGTTCTGTTAGATTTTTTTAGAGCAGAGGGTTGGTTCTGAGTTCATAAATAAAAGCCATAACAAAGAAAAGGAGACAAAACTGATAGTGTAAATTATAATAATTATCAGTTATTTTTGTAATCTTCAGGCTTACCTCTGTTTCTGAAAAGAGAGACAGAAAGAGAGAAAGAGAGAGATATCAAAGCAATTTATTTATTATGTGGTCTTTCTGTCTCTAAGATTGTTAGTAATAGATAGCATTTATTGAGTGCTCACTCTGTGCCACCCAAAATAAATCTCTGAGGTAGGTACTATTATTATACTCATTTTACAGTTCAGAAAACTGAGGCCAAGAGATGTTAAGCAACATGCCCAAGCTCAGGCAGCTAGTATGTGAAAGAATTGATATTGACCCCATATTGTCAAGCACATGTTCTCTGAGTTGCTGCTCTATAGCTGTTTTTTTTTTTTTTCCCCCAACCTGCTACTTTTCATTAAGGGGCTCTCTCTGGCTAAATTTCTTGTCTACTTTTTTATCCTCTTAGATATACATATGTATATTGTATGTGTTTATATGTGTATACTTTGTAAGTATAGATCACCCATGCAGGTTTTCATGATCAATCACTGTATTAATTAAGGTTAGCTAGGCTATGGCAGCAGTAACAAACATCCCCCAATCTCAATGGCTTAATGCAATAAAACTTTGCACAAAAATCTTTGGCTCACTTGGCATGTCCACTGTGGGTGGTCAGAAGGATGTGGGGATGGGAGATGGTGGTGGTGGGGCTCTTCTCCACAAAGTCTTGCAGGATCTCAGGGT